TGTCAAGGTCATAATATATTGAATAACTTTCAAAAGTCAGATATTCACTATTGTTAAAGTGTTTGTTACAGTTATTAATAAAAAAATGTGTAACAAATAAAATAAAATATTTACCTGTACAATAAATTAGATAAGGGTTGGGTTAGATTATAATTAAATCAGGATGGACGTGCAGGAAGAAGGGCAAAGTCTCTGCTTTTGGAGCGAGACAAGGTCAATATTTGTTCTATTCCAAACAGTTTTGTGTAAAAAGAAAACGTGTGGGCGGGGAAAAGACTCTGTCCCTCTTCCCGTATTCCATCCCGATTTAATCCTAAGCTAACCCAATTCTTATCTGATTGTAAAATGGACCTTATTTTGAGTGAAAAGTCATACGGTCTATGGCAAGGGAGGGGAGGAGTGGGGTGGATCTCGGTTCGTGTCTACATTTGAATTATTTCACAAAAATTTTCGATTCTTTTTTTGTCAATTCTTATTTTTTATCAGTTCATAACTTTTTAACAAATAACGTTTGCCGCAACTAAAACTTGTTGGAGGGTTATGACATTGGAACTGAATAATCCTTGGAATTAAATAATTACCAAATATACATAATAATAATAAAATAGAATAAATCCAACTAAACAAAATGATGCCAATGAGAGCCGTCACAGTGTGAATTAACAGCATTTATTAAAAATATATATATAAATGTATACGTTTCGACCTTAGGTTCGAGTTCTCTTCAATACAAATTGAATAAAAATTAAATTAACAACGATTAAAATGGAATAACACGTAAAAATAGAATGATATTTCGGTAACTTTTATCCTGCTCCATGTTCTATACTCTTGATATATTGTGCCAATAATCTTTTAAAGTTTTATAACCTTTTTTTCCCCTCTTATTTCTTTCAACAAGCTACCTATTGAATATAATGTATTAAATTCAATATACAGAAGCATTTTCTGTTCCTTTTTTAGTCTTGCATCTATCTATAACTAAATTGCCCTTCTGCCTTGTTTGCACCGCACCCTCCGATTGTCTGTACAATTTTATTTTATTTGCTAAACAATTAGGACACCGTCCATTTACCATCTTATGTACAGTAGCGTGAAAAAATTTCTCGCCAGTGACATTTTGTACTCTAATTTATGAAAAAACGTCTGACAAAATTTTAATCATTGTCAGGTGTTAGTACAAGTATTGGTAACAAAATAATATAGCTAATGGATTATATATATTCCTAAAAATATTTATTATTATAATTGTCATATTTACATCTGCAAAAGTTCCCGACAATTTAATATATTTGACGAATAGATTTGAGTAAGATTACTAATGATTTGTTGTATATATATGTAGTATTGCGTTCAATGATTACATTTAATTTGTAGGAAGTCGTCGAAATGCTCGGCACACTCAAATCTAAATTCGCGAGAGAGTAATTAAGTTTTTAATAATGGAAAGTCTTCTCGTGAAATCGCTTCGTTGCTATTGATAGGTAAATCAATCATGAATTATATTATTACTAAATATCGTGCTGGATATGGATTAAAAGATCGTTTGCATATAAATGGAAAGCCATGAAAAACAAAGTAGATCGTATCATTAAACACACATCAACTATTGATGTCAAGATAATTGTTGTCTAAATTGCACATAAGCTACAGGATGAAAACCTTGCCAATGTCAAACTGTAGTACTGTGACGCGACAAAGAGACTGTAAAACTTTTTGACCGAATAGTTCAAAAGCCATTAATCAGTGAAAAGAATAAGAAAGCCCGATTACAATTTACCAAAGATCATAAAAATTGGACTGGAAAAGAGTAGCTTTCTCAAACAAATCTGAATTTAAATTCCTAATAAATAAGATGATATATTATACGTTCAAATCAGGTATTTACGGGAAATCTAAACATAATAGATACAACGTGTGTCAGTTTCGTAATTTTAGTTGTAATGTTTAGTTAATAAACATCACATACTATATATACAGGGTGTCCCATTTTAATCTATCGGTCGAAATATCTCCTAAAATACGCCAGCTATAAAAAAATGTTTCAAATAAAAATGGAATGGTGTCGAGGGGGACACATTTTAGTCATATTGTTTTTTTTCTAAGTGGAGGCGCTAAAAAGATATGAAGGTCACCTCCACTTTTTTAAATGGAATTATGTAATTTTTTTTAGATAACGTGATTCCTCTAACTATTTTGCATAAAAGTATTAAGGTAGAGATACCAAAAAACCAATAATTTTCGAGATATTTTACACTTTATTTTGGTACATTTTGACACACAATGTTAAATAACTCGTAAACTGTTGACTTTTTGATTATCGTACCTTAATACTTTTGTGAACAGAATAATGAGATAAATCAAATGGTGTAAAGAAAACACATAGTTGCGTATTTAAAAAATTATCCATTTTGCATACATATTATTTTTAAAGCAACTATGTGTTTTCTTTACACCATTTGATTTATCTCATTATTCTGTTCACAAAAGTATTAAGGTACGATAATCAAAAAGTCAACAGTTTACGAGTTATTTAACATTGTGTGTCAAAATGTACCAAAATAAAGTGTAAAATATCTCGAAAATTATTGGTTTTTTGGTATCTCTACCTTAATACTTTTATGTGCAAAATAATTAGAGGAATCACGTTATCTAAAAAAAATTACATAATTCCATTTAAAAAAGTGGAGGTGACCTTCATATCTTTTTAGCGCCTCCACTTAGAAAAAAAACAATATGACTAAAATGTGTCCCCCTCGACACCATTCCATTTTTATTTGAAACATTTTTTTATAGCTGGCGTATTTTAGGAGATATTTCGACCGATAGATTAAAATGGGACACCCTGTATATATATATATATATATAGTTATTTTCCAACTAATTCAAATCGTATTTGATAAACACGATATCATGACATCTAAAATTACATGGAACTGATATAGGATGTAGAATCTATTACGTTTAGATATTCCGTAAATATCTTATTTAAATGTATAACGTAATTTTACATTTTCCTTAGTACGATTCAAAGGGATCTCTAGTTCATGAATCTTCTGTCTTACGTGCTGCATCATTTCTTAAATTGGTACATGTATTACTTATTGTCTATTTACGTTATAATCAAGTTATATATACGTTTAATATACCACGTTTATACTATATATTAATTTTATTATATTTTTTAATAATTCTAATACTATATATAAATAGTATAGTGAATTCAATAAATTCCATATGAGTGCAGAATTAAAAAATAACGATTACAATATATGATATCATCAAAACTAGGATAATGGTTACATAATGTTGACGTTTATATGTATTGATTCTTCAGTTAAATTTGCATTCAATTGTCCACTAAGATGACAAGAATGATCACGATTGACATGGTATTATTGAATAGATCATTACACCACATTTGTCAAGATTCTCTGACGTTGTGCATATACCTCGAATAATTAAATATCGAATAATTAAATTCAGTTAAAAAGCACGATTACAATTTTCCAACGGTATTGTTTTATATTTAAAAGCATTTCAATTAGGTATAAAGAGCTTTAATCCATATAAAACGTGTAAGACGGTCTCTCTCTACCGCACTCATAATACTTTCCGTATGTGTACTTTAACACTAATTACAGTTATCAATAATCCAAGCAAATTCGATTAACTTCAAAAAAAATTTCTTGAGAAATTTTATCGTGCGATAAATAATGTCGAAGTAAATAATTCTTGTCTCTGTGAAGTTAGCATCTCATCTTCAAATGGAAAGTTCCATTACCATTTTTGGTTGGGTTATCATCAACTCGCCGGCTCACGTAAAAGAGGCACACCGAAGACACTATCATGTCTCCAGATGATAATGTCTATTTAACGATTTTAATTTAAAAAAACGTTTCGATACTTTCGATAAAACATTTTTTCAATGTAAATTGTCTGTTACTATTTTATATTTATTATTATGTATTATTTATTTTCTACATTCTCATCTAACACTTCACACATTTAATGCACCCTTTTTCTATAACGTAAATTTCAATATTTTTGAATGATTAAAATTTGTTCCTACATATAAGCGAACCCAGAGAGTGGCAATTATAACAAATAATGGTTTATATGATTATGATATATTATATCAAGTTAGATTAGAATAAAGGTTCGTAGAACTATAGACTTCAAAATTCAAGCAACTACATATAACTTCGTTAAAAATGAACCAAATTTAAATTAAAAACAGAGTTGTGTAGTTTAAAATTTCTCTTTTTGTTTGAAAGATTACTGTATCTTTTAAATTGTTACGTATAAATTTCGTAATTTTTACATATGGAAAATTACTAGCTTGACAAAATAGGAAACTTTTTTTTTCACTTTGTTGGTCTATCGAATGCCCAAAAAGAATTTGGATCTTGTTTTTCGAACTACCTACGTGTAATAAATGAACGATATTCTTTTTTTTACATTGGTGTAGCTAAGTTTCGGTCACAAGGGTGTAATATTTGTAACGTTATTGAATTATCGATGTCTATATATTGCAATATACCTTTAACTACCCTATCTAAAATTTTCTTGTAAATTGGCCCTTGAAGCACTCCTTTTGAGACATACGTATCTTTCGGAATACTTTTAAAAGAATAAATATCCGACAATCTCCATTTATTCAGGATTATCATTAAAGATTATATCATAACGATATCGTGATCATCGCCATCACTACCTAGAAAGTATTACTGCCATCACGGATACGCTATTTGCCGTGTCCAGCATGCACCACGGTGATATCCGACTGCGCCACTCCGATTTCCGCTGTAAAAGAGAGTACGCGCGCGCCGCCACCATCGTTCATTCACAACCACCTGCTCGACGGGGTAACATCGCTTCGTTTCAACATAATCTGTCATTTGCAATTGTAGAAATAAAAGCGTCAACTAGTTTTGTTTTTTTTTTCGGCCTTTTACCCTCGCAACAGAGCAAAGTGTACCATTGACGATCGTGATAAAATGAGAACCAACACGACTTCTGGTTTTTTCTCGCTCTACTTGTCGATCATTCTACTTGTGATCTCAGCTTCCATCAGCGATAAGGCGTATGCTAAACGTGAGTAATAAATTTGGTTTGTATTAATTAGTTTATACATTTAATTTTAGTTTCCACAAACAACTGGGATCGTTCAAAAACACAATGGCAATTTGTTAATAATTTTGAAGTATTTCGTAGGAAAAACATAAGATCGTTTTAAAATTAAATTTTTTAAATTTAAACTTGCATATATAATAAATTACATGAAGCAACAAATATATTTTTATATCATTACATATCATTATTAAATAGTAATTATTTGCCGGATATTTAATTTCACATTTTAATAGATAAAGAATTTATTTTTTCCGATACTTCAATATTCTTGAAGAATAAGTAATAAAATAAAACCTTTTAATCAATTTCTATATTTTTTAAATCTGAAATCATATGTCTTAAATAATTAAAACTTCATGAAAGTTTCTAGAAATTATTTCTTTTTCAAAACATTAAAAAATTTTAGCATAAAAATAAATAGTAAAATTTGACTTTTTAAATTAAATTTTAAATAATTTTATCAAAACATTAAAATTATTATATATATAAAGGATAAAAGTCATGATATTAAAATGTTGATGTTAGTGTGGGAAATACAATATAATAAGATTTTTTAAATACATGTTTACGGTTTTCATAAGCTAATCAACTTGTTTAATAAAATCTTAAAAACTTTGAGGTGTGTACAGAGTTTGTTTCTTATTATTATGTCTTTGTAACTTGTAAAACTAGTTTTTTAGTAGTTGCTTATATGGAACGTATCTTTAATAGAAATGAAAAATGATGACCTATACAAACAAAATTATGTTATGAATTATTGTCTATCATAGTATATATTATTTTATATATATATATATATATTATTTTTAATGTAATTGTTTTATATACATTTTAATTATTTTACGTTTACTATTATCAATTTCTGTTTTAATTATTTTTTAATTACTTTATATTCATTTTTCAATTTTCTTTCGAATATTGCTGATTAATATATTTCTTTTAATTATGCCAATTCAAAAACTATATTTGATTCTGTTTGTATATATATAAAACGAGAATAAATATATAAGTTTCTATGAACTTTTTATAAAGTGCCTTGCATGTATGCTAATTAAAAAATTTCTTTATTTCTTATATCGCTTAAATAGTTTACATAAGTTTAAAGTTTTTCAAATTCTATTATTTTGTACTAAAAAATAAAATAAAAATGTAATCTAATAAATTTTTTCAATGGAATGACTTTTTTTAATCTGATAATCGGGTAAACTTTCCTTCTAATTTTAAAGAATGAATTTACATGTATATACATATATGTATTAATACGATAGATATAAATTTTGAAGGAATCTGTTATACTATTTTCATTATTATTATTAATGTAATTTGAGTCAATTAGGGCTCGGTCGTATTTAAAATAACATTATTTAAATATGAATATTTTAAATAAATTCTTGAAATCTATTTTAGATATATATATTTTAAATATTATATATTTTAATAAGTCATATCAATTTTTTATTGAACCTTTTTAATAAGTCATATTAATTTTTTTTTTAACCCGAGTTTATATTTTAAATAAGTTTCTGCAATCTGTATTATATTTTTTATTATGAATTAATTGTATCAGTTATTTTACTAAGCGCTGAAAAGTCAATGAATTAATTTTTGTATAAAAAAGGTACTTACAGTAATAATTGCGTAATTTTCTAGTTGACTTATAAATTATAAAATAAATTTTCTACAATATTATAAAAGTATTGCGTCATCGATTGAATAAATAGTCTATCAATAGTTGAAAGCAACGCGTGTAAATAGATCAAAAATGTCCAAAAAGTATGTTTGTCATGCATGTTTACAAATGACTCTATTTGCTAGCTTTTTGTTCTTTTGCAAAAAAAACTATAATTGAAACAACGCTTTGATCGCGATATTTTACATATCGCGATCAAATTGTTTTGCCAGTCTGACATTCAACTAGTCATATCCACTTCTCGTAAAATCAAAACATCAAAACGGGTTCACGCTTCACGCACAGAACTTAAGAGTATTGAAAATGTAATATTACGAGAACATGTAGTATGTCAGTCCTTTTTTGTATCATAATTACATCGTATACGTCAGATTATGTAAAACGTCAAGCATTTTAATTTATTATAGGTATGCAGAAGAAAAGAGACATTGGAAATAATTAAAAAAATTTATCGTTATAAATAAGTTATTTCTATCTAATCTGATCTTGACTCGTTTATTAAAAAATCTGTTTAATTGCCGATATTAATTGTTATTTAACATTATTAATCCTAAAGTAGATACACGTGAATTTTTCACATTTAACGCTCATAATACTTGTTCAAATATGTTCCAAATGTAATTATATTTAATACGTTCGAAAAAACTTAATTTAAAGAAAAAAGTATATATATTTGATTTTTAAATAAGTACAGAATATATGTATAAAAGGCTTAAACATTTTAATTTAAAGATATCATAAAATCTTGTGTAAAACTATACAGAAATAATGTTACGATTGCCACAACCGGAAATAATGATAATTTTCATATAAGATGGACATATTTTACGATTATCACAATTATACTATATGGTTCTTATAATTAAAAAATGTATTGATGGGCGATTTTTAATCGGAATAAGCATAGCTATATTTTCCGTGTATTTACAAAAAAATGAACTGTATTTATGTAATAATTAAATAATTAATATTATAATAGTATAGTAAACACAGTGTATATTACGAAACACACACTGTGATCTTGATTAGACTAGTGACATCAATCGTTCTATTTCCGCTTCTGGAAAGTATAACAACACACCCTGTCGGATGTAAAGTTGAGGTAGTTGCATCGTAGATTTAACGATTGCATACGTCCGCTCAACTTCTATTTGGGTCTCGGCGCAATAGATTATTTCTGCGATGCTGTCGCGAAGTTTTGCTATTCTACGCAAAACTCATGTAAAAGTAAATTATCGTTGCTTCATTGTAATGTCAAATCCGTTAACTCTCTCTACGAAATGTTATAATCGCATTCACTGTGTCCTCGTGTTTCCATGACGCGGTTATCAATCCTAACGTAAAATGGTATGAGCGTAGGATTAGCGCGACGACAGAAATTTATCTTTAGGAAACAAAATTGTGCCTAGCGATCGATAGAAATTAAGCTGCCGATTAATTTCGATGTTCTTAAACAATTTTTAAATAATAGTTAATTATATACAAATAAAATAAAACTTATCCGCATGTAGAAACTTTAGCAATGATTTAAATATACAATTGATTTAAATACTGTTAATTTACTTAATTTGAAATACTGTTAATTAATAAACATCTCAAATATCGTGTGATTGCTTAAATTTTGTATAAAGTTTCAATAATACTCTGGTTACACACAGATATTGAAAATTTAGCAACTCAACTAATCCACATTATGCGATATTAAAAGCCGTGTCAGTGAAGAAAATCGTATCGTAATTAGCATGTAATAAAGCGGCTTAGACGTGTTGCATTATATGATAGGCAAATATTGTGTACATTATTAATGGTTGTAAATCTACTAGTTCTTAATATAACCATTGCTTTAAATTTGTTTCATATTCATATTGTTCCTCTATACTTATCAGGAGACGCGGCAGTGTCTCCGGCCATGTTCAAAAACTAATATAGTTATATCGCAAATATCGATTTTTATTTTAAAGCTTTTAATTTTGAACACTGTTTTAAAGTATGTATTAAAACAGTTTTTTCTTTAATAATCATAACTGTAAAAATATTAATATAGATTTAACAAATACTTTTTCGCATGTCTGTTTTCAAATAGTCAATCGACATAATCGGCACCGTTAAAATTTTAAGTAAAAAAGTTAGCGTTTAACTTGGCTGATCTTATTAGATTACTTCTAGCTACAACGTCACGCTACAGCATCGTTACGATCTTCACCTAGAAGTAAAGTCTGTTTTTTCTTTTATAAAGGAAAAACAGAGATACATTTAAAAAAATTTATTTTTACATAAAAATTTATCTCATTTCTATCATCATTATTCTGCATTTCTTTAATTTCTTTTCTTGTTATATTACTATTTTACTTATATTTTGCTTATTTTTTGCAAGTAATAAAGAACGATGATTTTTACGCTGACACTTATTGTTATATTATACAAAATTCTGAGATTAAAAAATGTATTTTAAAATATATTTAAAAATTAAATATGACGTTTACTGTTACTTACAATTTTCTTTAATCAGGTTTCAGGGGTTTTTTGCGGCTTGCAAATTATATTAATTAACAAATAGGGATGTCGGATCATAAAATTACTAGATATCGGATATCGGACATTTGAAAAGAATGTGACACCGGATATGAAATATTTTCCATATATCCCCTATAAACTTTCCAAATTTCTTAAAAAAGAAAAGAAAAGCCAAGGAAAAACAGCGATAATAATTAACTGGAACAGGATATTTATACAGTTTCTATACTGCTTATAATTAGTAATCACAGTTTAATATTAAATTTTTCATAATGAATAACATTTCAACATTTTCCGGTGATAACCATTATATTTCGATTGTTAGCATAAATTATTATAACGATGCAAAATCATAAACTGTACAAAAAATTCAATTAAAAAGAATAGAATTCTGCATCAATGATGCAAACTTTCAATATAAAATTTTAGCCGGATATATTGCTAGATACTAATGAGAGAGTAGACTATTTTAGAGTCCAACTGATATTTCGGTTTCGTTTTCAATTTCGGTCAGTTTTAAGTTAAGAAAAAAAATTCAGTAAATAAACCAAAACTATACAAATTGCAATAAACCGGCGGTTATTCGAAAAACTATCATACGTATTACTGTACATTATTAGTATCGACGCCGATTGCTGCAAATCACACCGCCGTGCGACAATACTTTAATTTCTCTTCTTTCTTTAGATATCCTTTTTTTACTCGCCACGTCGCCAAGACCACTGTCTATAATACATGAAATTCCTTATAATTTAAGGAGAATAAGATATTAATAAAATCTTATTTTTTAAAAAATACATAAATTTCACATAATATTTTGATATTTTCCAATGATTCTCTGAAAATCATATGGTAATATTTGCAAATTTATCCAAAAATTTTGGTTTTGATTTTGGTTTTTGAGATGGAATAAAAACCAAATTTATTTTCAGTTTCGGCCGAAGGTAAAAAAGTCTACTAATGATTTTCGGCTATTTGACCGGATAATAAAAAAAGTATCGGATAATACCGGATACCGGATATTTTCCGAATATTTGGCGCATTCCTATTAATAAGCATGTGAAAGATAAAATACATATTTAAAATAATAACAACATTACGTATACACAATTGTCGAAGCATGTGTAAAATGACGAAAATGGAAACATGTATTTGCACGTTTGTAAGTCTCTGACCTAGAAATCTGTATAAATTCTTATTCAAAATTTTCGTGACTTCTGTGAAAATTAGAAATACAATATGATGCAAATGCGAAACAGGACATACGTAAAAAGCTAAGAAAAATTTGAAATTTTAAAACAATTTTCCATTTTTCTGAAACACGAAGTCCATATACATATCAGTTCTAATCAGCTTTGATTGTACTTGCACTAAAAATAATAGGTATATATAAATTGTAAACCTATAAAGCCCAGATGCGTTAACAAAAATTTTCAAATTTTTTGTAAATTTTCAAATTTTTGTATATTAAATAATGACAATAGTGTTTTTTTTTTTTATAATTTTTATATATTATATTTATTTTTCACGAAAATGAAAATCGGAGCATAAGTTGAATGTGAGAGAATAGTAACAAAAGCGTAAATAAAGCTTTTTGGAGACGAAAATTGGAACAACGAAATAAAAGAAGCACAAATGCTTCTGTTATTCTTCTTTTCGACTTATGCTCCGATTTTTATTTTCGTCCGATTCGTACTTACTTCTTATCTTTACTTTTACTCTTACTTTTACTGTTTATCTTATTCTTTATCTTTATTTAATTATTTACTTCTTACTTTTACATTATATTTGCTTGTATTGCCACTCTTGAATGCTATGAGCTTATAACATAATCAAAGAATGATACAGTAGTTTTTATTACATCAGTAGAATAAATTAAAACCGCTTCATGTGAACGAATACTCGTATATTTCGAGGGTTATAACTACGGATGTTACTAAATCCGATTAATAGTTTCCGTGTAAATGTAATCATAAATTTTTATTTAGAAATCAACTTTATGACGAACTTTTATCTTTATAATTGGAAAAGTGCCTGAAAGTGGGGAAAAGATCATGGGATTTAAATCATTAGTTTTGGATTATTTCTATTCTGTTAAATCAGAATAAATAATACAGTTGCATATTCGTTTCAATATTAATTGGAACAAAAGAGATGTATCAACGATCCATATTAAAGCTTTTTAGATACTTTTTATAAATATTTCAACGTTTCCTAGTTAACATTTCAAACTAATGTATCTGAATACATTGAATATATACATTCATATTGTTTACTTAAAAATTATTAAATTAAATTTAATTAATAAAAAAGTTATAACTAATTATTTTCCTAAACCTCGTTTAAAAAAAGTAACATCTTCCATAAATATATGAATATATTTTATAAAATGCAAGTCTTAGAATAAACCGAAATTAAATTATTTTTGTTCTGCTATATAAATATAATATATACAATATTAAATTTCTATTTATTTCATACTTTAATATGAAAACCTATACATAGAATACTTATACGTAAAATTAATTTTTATTTAACAAAAAGTAACAGTCATCTCTCTGTGTCCGATATGTAAATGACATGATATTAGCTACTCACCTGTTTAGATAAACTGCTTATAAAGCTTAATAATTTACATTATAGACTTAAATTTAACTGGCTTTTAGATTTTTGATTGGTTCTATAAATCTGTTTAAATAAATTTCTGAATTTTCATTCACAACATCCGACTTCCCATAAAAAAGAAACTGATATTGAATCAACTGATAAAGTTTTATGTTTATTGCATTCGGAATTTTAGGAAAAAAATTTTAACGACATCATTAATATTTTATTAAACAACGGACATTCGTTGAATTTTATTTTATCTATTATCAAAAAACGTCTTTCTTCTTTTGCACACCTTAATTATAAAAAAATCAAACGTAAGAAAACTTACATATTTTACGGTTCCTTGCATAGCTGGCATATAGCTGATAAAGAATGATGGCAAATTTTGCCTACTTTTTGGACCTCGATTTTCAAACTTTTTTTATAGCAAATAGTACTATTAGATAAAACATTAATCCCAGTAAAATTTCAAGATAAGTATATAGGCACGGTTCCGAAGATACAAGGGAATGAAAATGATGATTTCCAGTCAGGGTGTATTGCATAAGGAAAAATGTGTGGCTGAAGTTGGTAATATTGAGGATATATTTTGTCGAATGGATCATCTACAATTCATTGTTCAGAGAACGATCTACTATTCACTGCTATTTCATTTATGAGGGGGAGTGCTTTATAAAGCACCTTCAAAATACATTCCCTATTAATCACTTGAAACAACCGTTATTCTTATTTACGCGGATCAAGCTCGTCGGAATTGCGAGTCGGAAATAAGAATAGGTTCGCTTCCGAGAGAGAGAGGCGAAGGTTTACAAAAATAAAAGAACGGCTGGTGTTTATTCATCTATGAGAAAAAGGGACTCACATTAAAAAAGCACCCCAATCTGTGAGAGCCAAGCGGACTCATAGCAGAAACGCATCCTGATCTGTGAGAGGCGACGTCAAGTGTCACTTCAACTCCATCTATCTCGGGAAATTTTCATGCTAGACGAAAACTAAGATCATATTTGAATCCGACATAAAAAAAATCCAATAAGAAACAGTATGTTTTACTTCGTTAAATATCTATTTTATTCCTTAGTATGGACACTTGAAGAGTTTCGTGTACTTTCATGGGTTATGAGAAACTATATCACTTTCATATCTCCAGAACTATGCTTATGCTCATCTTAAAATTTCTCTAGGATTAATGTTACATCATATAGTACTGGCACAAAAAAAAGTTTGAAATTCGAGGTCCAAAAAATGGGTCTTTTTGCCATCACTCTTTATCTAATATTTTAAAAATACTCATAATTTTAATTTAGTTTTTCAGATTATTGAGTATATTATAGATGATTTTAATAGACTAAAATTTATTAAAGGTTTTATTTTCATTCGGTGTATTTTCATTCGAATGTAGTTTATAGGATTAATTGTTTGAATTGTGAAGGCAACATGTGGTGGCCATACACGTAGATTACTCAAAAGTAGAATTGACGAACATAAAAATAATATTAAAAGATATGGGGTACACAGAAATCTGTTATCACAGAACACAGACTTGAACTCGATTATGAATTTGATTGGACTAATGTGAAGATTGAAGAGATTTTTTAAAAAATAAGAGATTAATCTCTGAAATAATACATATATTTAAAAAAAAATAGTAAAACGTAAAGGACTGTATGAGTTCTCTAATTGCTTTTCTATTTTTCTTTCCATTGTAAAGAAGATGAATATTATTTATCTCCTGCTTGCTATTTTATTGTTATATAGAAAGTCATATTTGTTACATTAACATTAAATGTGTTACTCTTTCCATGTACAGTGAGTGTATGTTACATTATTTTAAATTTATTTCTTAATTTTAATTTCATTGATCTAACAATAAGAGTTTTATGATTTCTTTTTTTTCTAATTAATTAATTAATATTAAGTATGATTTTATAAGAGTAAATACTGTTAGATTGACTTACTGTAATTGCATTGGTAATTTTTATGAGCATAGATTATCTTCAATCTACTATTTGAAAAAGGTTATTTAATATTTTATATCCGTTTTAACATGAATTCAACTCTGATTTTTTCCTTTCTTTATGTAAGTCCTTAATTTATTTATATTTTAATTATATTTTAAGAATGTCATTAATTCATAGAATTGCCTCGTTTAAAATAATTTTACAAATGTGATCAAAAACTCTTTATAATTCTTTTAATTTGTTTTCACTGAGAAGGAACCGGGTCCATGATTGAAACGTATGTACTCAAAGAATAAATCTCATCAGTATTCAAATGAAGAAGTTAAATTTATGTTATTTTTCTATGCTCGTCATTCAGCAGTGACTCGCAAAAGCATTTTACTTATTATTTACATAAAAGATTAAATTAGTTATTTTTATCATCATGTAATCGGTGAACTATTATTAATTTATTATATTTTACGTTATACAATATTATTTCTAATATCTTTTTTATTCTCTTTTTTACAATTTAATCTGATTACATCATATATTTTATAAGTTATTAAAATTATGGTTTTTTAAAAAACATATACTTCATAAAAGAATATGGAAACTAAAATATGGTTCTGAAAATTAAAAAAATTTGTTTTCTGTAATATTGATTTTTTTTTCGTTTCTAAAGATTATTATATTTATTTTATATACATATATA